TGTACTATAGTACAGGGACTTTGGCCTGATTTTGGAGCAAGATGCATGTAATGTGCATGCATGAGATCTCTTATTCTTTCTCTTTTTCTCTCTCTATTACAGATGGGACTGTACTGTGTGTTGTAGTCTGCAATGATGGTTTAGTCAAATTATTTGTTTTAAAATTGTCTCTAAATTCTGAAAGCTCTCTCTCACTCACTGCCTCCCTGGCCACCAGCTTTCATCCAACAGGAGGAGGAGGAGGTAGTTAATTAATAGTTATTCTAGTTATTAACTAATGTTTAATTAACTAGGTCAACTGACTGATCTTATTGTTCATCCAGACACTGGAGGCTGTCTATTGCATATCTGCTATGATAGTTAGTAATTATAAATTATTATTATTATTAAATTTTATGTATACATGTACATGTAACTAGAGACGAATCTGCTCCAGTGGTCGTTAAGGGATATCACGCAATCTGGAAATTACATGGTTAGCCTTGTACATGTACATTTATAAGAGACTCATTCCTATTCCACTTTTATTTCATTCCTATTCTCTCCTTTTCCATTCTCGTTCCTCTCTCAGGCTAAACGTGAGAGTCTGTACATTATCCATCATCCCGTTTCCGCCATGACATGTACCGCCCTCTGTCTAAAGGGGTGTGGCACTTCTCCATCCAGCCTTGTGACCACACCTGCTCCCGGCTCTGAGTTCATGCTGGATGTGACGAGTGAGTCACGTGACAAGAACTGGCCAATAGAATTGATTGTAATGCTACACACTGACAACTCTATCACTGTACTAAACAGGTAATAAATATTAATAACTATCAATAAATATTAATAACTATTAATAACTATTTATAACTATTTATAACTGTTAACTATCTGTCCATTACAGGACGTCATATCAAGTGTTGTGTAATTATAAATTAGGTGGTGGAGATGGAGAACCAGGTGGCTGTGTCTTCACGTACATGTACATGTATTATTTATTTAATTACCGGTAGGTGCTAAACGGCTAAAGACCGAAGGAGATTGGGGCGGGGCAGCAGGGGGTGTGGTCAATGGAGACTGCAATATATGTATATCGCCCAATGGAGGGTGTGTTGCCGTGGCGACTGAGGGAGTCATTAATGTGATTGCCTTCTCTCCTTTCTTCCTTGGGGAAAAAGGTACAAATACAAAAACTGCTTGGCTCACATTGTAACTGTTTAGGTTTTGAGTCTCCTGATATTTCAAGATGGAGTCTATTACTAGCTCTAGCTGCAGTTAAGAATGTATCAGTATGGGACATTGCCGTCATGTGCAGTCGCGTCTCTTACAGACACAAAGGTTGCATAGCAACATGCCCCGCCCCTTACTCCACCCTTTTAATTAGATGGTGGCCTGATAATGAAGGTACTAGAGCAATGGGGGAAGGACTTCACTAGGAACTCTGATACCTGGAGGGATACACTGCTCCCAGTCTACTATAGGATATGTCTTACTTTACACTGGTAAGGGAAAGGATCTCTTTCTTAAGTACCATACAGCTGGTTAATTGTGTGGAGAAAAATTTTTGCAAAAAAATCCTTGAAATTAATTTGGTTTGCGGATCAAATTTTTTGTGGTTTTGACACTTATTGTAGTATAATGTACTGTTTTCATTTTTGAATTTCATTATTTTTTGGATTTAAATTTTGCATTTTTGATTCATCCGCAAACTTGCAAAATTTAATTCTCTGCAAATATTTATAGCTGTACTGTATTTTTCTCTCTCCCTATAGTTGTCATGATCATGGGTTAACTCACGCCCTAGACCAGCGTGATGTACTGAGACTTCATTCAACCTTCTCTCTCTTTCTCCTTTCCCTCTCCTCCAATAAAGAGTCAGATTCATCCCTTGCTTACTCTCTTAAAGGTCTTTAATATTACATGCATAAATAATACATACATACATGTACAATACATATGTTCATATGCACATACATGTGCATGTACATGCATAATGTACAGCTGGAATGCCAACCATTATAGTGCTTTAATTTTGCAGATTTTTATTTTGGTAATTGGCGGTTTGCAAGTGAAATTGCAAATATTAAAACTGGCAATCATTAATGCGCATGCTTAGTAATCCACGTGTACACAAAAATCACCAGATTAAAAACCAACAATTGTAATTTTATAGCTAAATTGCCAAAATAAAACACTATACGGTAGTCCCATTCTTCTCTTATTAGATTGTGCTGAGTCTCCTGAGGACAATATTGACGCCATCACTCGCTCGCTCCAAAATAAAGACTTTGAGATTGACAAAGGTTCCATGCCCTCCCTTCTTCCTCTCCTCATATTATTAGTGTCTTTTAGATATTGCATCAGAACTACAGGTTCACGCTCACTGGATTATTGAGTTCTCGTTAAAGGTTTCATCAAGAATAGCAAATCTAATGGTTGGGAGGGTAAGGGCCCACTCTACCATTTTAATTTCAATGTCTCTTCTACAGTATCCTGATAGGTTAAGTCTTAAGGTATTACGACAGTGTCTTATGTTGATTTTTATTTGGAATAAAGTATTGAAAATGCCAGTTTTATCAATCAGTGGTGAGGAGAGAGACAGACAAAGAGAGAAGTTAACGTTGTTACTTTTTAATTTATTTTTCAGATTCATCACTTTCTTTATTATTTAAAGTTATAACTTGTACTATTAATAATGAAATGAACGTCCTTGATGAATCACTGAAATCAGGTGAGCTATTTTTAGAACTAAATGTATATATGTCACTGACCACACCTACACAGATCTATTGCGCAATATACCACCAATGGAATCATATTCAACTCTGACATTAACAAAAGCAGCTAATCTCCAAGGTAAGCACTAGTAGCTGTTGCTGAGGAATAAGCATCAGCAAATACATGCAATAGGATTTCCCACAAAGAATATTTTGCTGATCAAGAACTTTTAAAAATCACAAAAAATCCAATTTTAATTTAAATTCATACCAAAATCCTGTGGGAAACCCAGCTTCACTGCTAGTTATAATGATTTTATTTAATAACTATTCATAACTAGGGTTTTTACATGGTTTGTCTAAGACAGCAGAATTACCCGAAACATTCTATCGGGAGATTCCTCCTCGCCTGAGACCACACGTACAGGCAAACTACTCGTCATACGACCCTTACTCTCCCCTTGGACTCGTGGTACCCAAAGGAATCTCCCCTCCTTGGAGAGACAGGTTTATAGAGGGACAACTGGATGTGATTCATGGAGGAATACTCACCAACGCTGTACTGAGGGATACTAAACTCAGGCAATGCAGCAAGTGAGGGAAAACAAATCATTAAAACATTGTTCTTTTTTTGTGGGGGAATAAACTATTAAGAATGCTATTTTGAGAGGAAATAATTATTTTGATCCTTTTAAATTTTTAAATTTTTTATTTGGTACATGTAGCTGTCGCTCGTGGACTGTAGTATCAGGGACCAGTGCCGTTGATCCTGCCACTCCCTCTTCTCTCTCGTCTCCTATACAGCAATGGAGGCATAGCTGGACCAGACACTGTCTGTGTGGTTCAATGTGGCTCCATACAAAACAATAAACAACAACAACAACAATAGATTTAATACGATTCAGG